TAGTCTTTAAAGTGTGTTTATTCATGTATGGGAGGCCATAGGCCCATGTACATTTCAGTTATATATAGTAATATACAATTATACAATTGAGACAATTTACATTTCAAACAATCTTAAGGGTATAATATTAGGACTTGGTACGTAATAATAGGGCTTCCTTCACATACTTAGCTACATTTCTGAGTATACAGTTATTTTTGCTATTTAAGAGATTACTAAAAGTCTTAATACATGGATTGTTATAGAATCTTACAGGAATATACTTTTGTCTTATTGTTGCGTAAAACGGGCAGACAAACACAAAATGGACTTCGTCCTCAATACAACCATTGTTACATAGCCTACAAAAGCGTTGTGAAGAATCAATATCCTCTCTTCTGCCCAGATTACTCCGTATAGGCAATTCACTTAATCGCAACAGGCACATCATACGTCTATGGTCTCTATTTCTGAAAGCTGTAACATAATATACATATCCAATAATATCTTGACGTGTGAATAATTCCTTAATTTACGAGACTCATAAATTTTCATCTGTATACTCTGTTTGTTGCAATCCAACAAACGTTGTCTAAATAGCTGCAAGAAACACTTAACGTCACCAATATTCTGTTCGTACCACACATTACCAAATCCATATATGTCGAGTAAATATTTAACATGAGTTGCCCAAGTAATTCTACCACATTCATCCAGCTTCTTCATTAACAAATAACACTGTCGGGGATATCTTTCCTCATTCATTCTAATCATTTACACCAGTAATTAACACACTTCATATGATAATCCACATGCAAACCATTTCTTCCACATTCAGCTAATATTGCCGTACTTGATACATATTTACCAACTCCTAAAACAAATTTACAAAACTTAGTATGAAAAGTTTCGACAATTTGACTACCTTTGCAGCCCCAGATCTCTGCACCATAAAGAAGAATGGGCTTTATCTTAATATCAAACAATTTAAATAAAATGTTAACTGGCATATTTACAAAGTGAAATTGCAATTGTTTAATGGCAAACAAAGCCTTATTGGCTTTTATCTTGAGAGTATCAATGCATTTAGTCCAAGACAATCTATTTGAAAACAGAACACCCAGATAACTATAGTAAGTACTTACATTTATACGTTTATCATTCAAAAACCATCGTTCATCATACCTTAAAGTACCACCTCTTCTGAAAACCAAAATTTTGGTTTTAGACATGTTAATTTCAAGTCCCCACTTTTTACAAAAATTGGATAAAATATCAATTTTTCTTTGCAGACCTATTACTGTGTCATCACAAATACACAAATCATCTGCATATAGTAAAATTAATATGTCCATAAACTCCTCTCCAATAAAAATCCCTCGCATATCACTACTTTCTATCATTGACTGTAATTCATGGATAAACATTGTGAACAGAAAAGGACTCAACACGCAGCCCTGTCTTACACCACTCAGTGATTCGAAATAATCTAAAAGAGAGTTATTTGATGTCCTGACAGCACACTTGATCTTAGAGTATAGATCCTTCAAAACCACCAATAAACGACCATGTATTCCATTTTTCATTAATGAATACCACAAGAGATTTCGGTTAATCGAATCGAATGCTTTACGGAAATCAACAAACAAACAATAAAATCTACCCCGACGTTTAGAGAGATATTTTTGTGCTAAACATTGTAATGTAAATATATTATCAATTGTACTGTATCCGCTTCGGAATCCTGCCTGAGATTCACGGATTGTATCATAAACGTCGGCAAAGGTCTTGAGTCTATTATTTAATACTGTTGTCATCAACTTTCCAAATACATCCATCAGCGTTATTCCTCTATAATTATTGACATCATTTATATTATCTTTCTTATCCAGGGGAACTACTATACCCTTTGCCCACTCGTAAGGGGATACACCACTTTGCATAATCCTATTAAAAACTATAGTTAAGTATGATATGATTGAAGTACTACAACATTTCACCATTTCCGGTAGAATTCCATCCGGTCCAGCCGATTTACCCAGTTTCAAGTTATGTATAGCTGATGATACTTCTTCTTCAGTTATATCAGCATTAAGGAGATTATTCATAACATCATCATTACAGTAATTGCACTCATTTATATCATGATTGTTCATAAAAGTTTCTGCCTCATCTAGATTGTCCTCATCCACAAGTATATCAGTTAAATTAAACACATGCTGGAAATATTCGGTCCACTGCATATTGGTAATACCTGGGTTCCCTGTCACAGAAGGTGAAGAAATAATATTGTTGATGCGTCTCCAGAAGGATTTACCACTTTTACTATTATTGACCAGATCATTTATACAATGTTCATCATGCTTCAATCTCTTCTGTCTACACATTTCTCTATATTTATTCTTAATTACAACATATTCCTTCAAAAGTTCCTTAGTTCCTGAGATTCTGAATAGATCAAGTTTATTAAACTTTTGTCTTTTTAATTTCATACACTCATCATCGTACCAATTCTTACTATCCTTAGTCCGGCAAACAGTACTATACTTCTTTTTTAAAAGACCACAAGACTCAGCACAAATATGAAATACATCAACCAAAGTTTCTACCGCAGACTCGATATTAAGTGGAACCTGGTCTCTGTCACTATCTAATACATAAGGTGATAACATATCAGCGACAGACTGCCGAAAAGTTTCAATAACAGCGTCCTTCCAAACATATCTTAGTATATCTGACGATGTATTATTTTCCTCGTTTTCTGCCCCGTACTCCGTTGTACTGTCAGTATGTACTTGCAATGACATAACGATTGGAAAATGATCAGACTCACACCGTGTACGTACAGTAAAGTCGATATCTCTGGTAAATAAGTCACTTGAACATAAACAGTAATCAACCAAGCTTGCTCCGTCTCCTTTAAAACAAGTAAAGCTACCCTCTGTATCACCCGCACATCTCCCATTCAACATGTGAATGTTATGAGTTGAACATAAATCTAGGAGTTCCTTTCCATATTCATTGCATACATCATCACGGCTTCGTCTGGGAGTGTCAAAGGAATCAGACACATAGTCCATGTCCTCAAAGCTCGGTATGTAGTCTTTAGATATAAAGAATGTTAGGAACTTTAGAAGTGCTTGGACAGTTATTAACACGTGTCGTGTCAGTCCTTTGACATTCGCGAATATCCACTTCCAGGAAACATCCTGTGTTGGTTTTACACGAATTAGTAAAGGTTAATTACCTTATCACGTTAATTAATGAAAGAAGAGTAGTCAAAACACTGTCGTTTCCTGCCCAGGACATCACACCCCTACACGCCAAGGTCGGTGAGAAGCATTCTAATCAAAGAATACACACAGTCAAGACACTGACTTTTCTACGAGACTCACGTTATGTAGTCATAATCATCAGTTTATTACATTGTTCAAGATGCATTTTTATTCAAACTCAATTAAACGAGCAAAACTATACGTTTGTGGACATTGAGATCTGCCTAGATATGCGCGTTTCGTTTTATTATTCTGCAATCCATTTTTAGTATTACCCGCTGGCCCGGCCCGGCCCGACTTTTCTTGGCCCGACTTTTAGGCAATCCCAGAGCCATAGGTATGCTGCAGATGGGAGCGACAAAGAGTGAGTGAATGAGTGAGTTGGGTTTAACGCCGCTTTTAACAGTATTCCAGTCATATCGCGGCGTGTCAGCTTAATGTGGGAGGAAAGCCCGAAGTGATGCAGGTCTCAGACGTTTACCACTTCGGTGAAACCCACGAGCACGGGTATGGTGCTGACAAACCTAGAAACATAATCGGGGCGAACCGGGATTCGAACCCACAATCATAGGTTTCTGGCGTGCCCAAGGGACGCAACTCTGCACAGCGAATCGCGGCGCCTTAGACGACTGGGCCACCCGTGCCCCCGGAGCGACACAGAGAGCGGTTGCCATTAACATGAACTGCTCCAAGATGACCATTACCAGACTGGTCGCACGTCTCCGACAGACTGGCAGAACCGCAGACAGACCACTGAGTGGCAGACCAAAGGTCACGACCCCGCAGGATGACCGCTATTTACGGGTACTTCATCTGAGTAACAGATTTCCTACTGTGACGTCATCAGCTGCCAACCCGTCACCATCGACGTGCTAGATTGACGTGGTGCAGGCAAACTCAGCGATGGCAACAAAGGGATTGGCGGCGAGTGCTGTTTAGTGACGAGAGCAGGTTCCACCTCTTCAAACCTGATGGGCGGACGCGAGTATATCGACGACGTGGTGAACGTACGGCTCCTTGTTGTGTCCAGGTGGGGGAACCTGGAACCTTACGGGGGCGGAAGTGTGATGGTCTGGGGCGGCATTTGCGAGGACGGAACATGTCAGCATCGAAGGCTATCTGACAGCACAACGCTACATTGACAATATCTTACGGCCAGTGGGTCTTCCTTTCATCCAGCGTCAACAACGGACGGTGTTCCAACAAGATAACGCCACACCCCATAAAGCCCGTATTACTAGAGACTTCTTCAACGCCAACAACGTGACTGTCCTGCGGTGGCCAGCTCGATCACCAGATCTGTCACCCATAGAACATCTCTGGGACCAGCTGGGGCGGTGTCTTCGGAAACGTCAACATCCTCCCTTCACGAGACAAGCGTTGATCGTTGCCCTCCGTGAGGAATAGAATCAGATACCTACAGTCGATGTGAGGACGCTTGTCTACTCAGTTCGACGCCGCATTCGAAGATGCATTGCCGCTCATGAAGGTCATATCCCGTATTGAACGGTCTGGGCCGTCGTCACCTTAAAGTTGTAACCAATGTTGTTGATCGAATACTGGACGAATGACCCCTTGTCAAGGACTTTGTTGTTGAATTAGTAAATTCGCATTTTACTGTTCTGAATGATGAATTTCTACACTACAATTATTATTGCTGCTTCAAATTGTGTTGGTCATATTTTACCCTAGAAATATCGTTGGTAACGTTTCTTTTGGCTGTCAGTTTATTTTAGGAAAGGAAAAAAGTTTTATTTTATTTTTTATATATTCGTCTGACAGGACAAACAGACACAGGACCATCTCCGTGTTCTCAACAAAACCAACACAGTCATGCAAATCAAAGGTTCTACAGAACATAGTTTCGAAACCTCGCAAAAGTCTACCTAATATTATGTTCTACTACTGTTTTTACTTTTACGACAAATGACTTGTATTAACTTGCCATAAACTGTAAAACATAATACCCCTTGGGGGAAAACAACACATCTAATCTGATAATTGTTGAATATGATAATGGACAAAATAATTTTTTTCAATTATCTAAACAACATAGCCTTGATCAAAATATAAACTACATAAAGGTTCAATTTCCCCGCAAAGACAGCAAAGACCTTCAGTTATGACCTCGATGTTCATGAAGAGAGCATGTACAAGAAAACTGACGCAATCGTGTTCAAAATAGTTTGAATAACTTGAATAATATTTACCCTGGTGGACATGATAATTCAGTATATATGTGATAAAATACTGTTAAGTATGTTGAACAGTTTTAATAAATTAGCTTAGCCGCGAGGAGTTTCACACATATTAATTTAAATTCAACAAAATACGTTTACAGTTTATGAAATATCTTGAAAGATACAAGAAAGTACGATGTAGAAATACAGTATACACGATAACATATTTAAGTCTGGTTAGCAAGTAAATGAAGTATCTAGATATTGTATGATAACCAGTAAGACTCGCATTGAGACAATTCAATGTCCATGTATACTGGTGTGGTGATATTCATGTAGACGATTATTATGATTCGACTTTAATCGCACCTGCCTGTTAAACAACACAGCCAAGCCCATTTAGTCAAAAACCGTCAGTAGATTTTGTTAGCAACGTCTTCATATAATACTGTGGACATTACTCTCTAAGAGAGATTCGTTAATCCTAAATTTGTTGGCGAGATCGATTTCACAGGGAACAATGTCATCCTCTTCAAGAGTCAGGGTTTCACTGTGCAAACTTGTACACGTGTATCCCACTCTGCCACTGTACAACATACAGAAGACCTCGATGAAGACACAGTCCAAAGGGCTCATCCATGCCCTGTTTTGCCGTCAACATGTCCCTCACATACTTCCCGTTCTCTGTCAATAAGACAACTTTGTTGGCTCTTCTGTCCGCTACCAGTATGTGGCCTGTGCTGGTTCTCGCCATTCCTCTGTTGTCCTGGAAGGTCTCCTGTCCAAGAGTGCTTGTGAAGTCCACATCTCCATTGGCCGTCAAACCTGTCACGGCCTTAAGGTTAAAATCTGAGATTAACAAACCTCCAGTCTCTGTTGTGATGATACATTCCAGATATGCACCAGCAGTGTTTGTTAGTGTTTTCAGTAGGTGCCCGGACATGTCCAGAATATCAACACCACACTTCGAACAACCAGCTGCAAATGTGGAGTTGTTCAAATACGTAAGACCATGGTATACTTTTGGAGTTTGAATGTTTGAAATAATGTGTAAATCAGGCGTTATGTTGATAGTAATAATTTCTCTTGAATTGGGAACAGAAACAGCAACCATATTCTCCCCCATTTTCGTAACTGCCCAGGGATAGTTGTCCGTGGATAGAGTACAGTGCTGCATAGTGTTATTTCTTGAATAAAATGATTTGATTTTGTTCTCAATGCGACAGGAAACAACACATGTTGTTGTTCCATTCACCTCCAGTACAACAATGTCAACCCCACCGGAGTTTCCTATGGTCTCACATAAAACAAGGGACGACTGTGGATCAAAGCTTTGCTGCACAGCCAAATTAGTTTCATCCAAGACAGTACTGAGTTTATCCAAATCTGCATTCAGCACCATAAAGGGACGCAACTCCTCCTGTGACAATCCAACACGTGCGTCCTCGGTCTGGACGTCCGTCTCAATCTCCCCTGACCGACAGGCCTGGTACACCTCATACGTGTCCGGGACACTCTCAGACTCGAGGGCCCTCTGTATGAACTGTAGCCGCTGCTGGTACCTCTGTACCGCCATCTCCGCCGTCTTGATGCAGCTCTGGAGCCTCCCCGTCTTCTCATCAGTACCTCTGTCCAGGACCTGTAGCAGGTCGACCTCCTTCTTTGTGATCAGGTCACGGGCCTCTTGACAGAAGGTCTTAATCTGAGATTGCAACTCAGATTTATCCTGTTTGGTGTGGACAAGCAGAAGTTTGTTTTCAGATATTTTAGAGTTCTTATCACATATCTGTTCTGTTAATCGTTTAGACTTATCTTTCAGTATTCTTTTCATTTCTGGATATTTTGACTCTATGGTTACCACCGCGTCACACTTTCTGTGGTATAGAATACAGCAGGATTGACAGACTCCTTTCTCGCAATCATTGCAGTAGAACTCCACATCATTTTTCTTGTGTTCTGTGCACTTGACCCTCCTCTTCTTCCTCACCTTAACGTCTTCTTTAATGTCAAGGACGTCATGATCACACAACATAGGTATCAAACCGTGCATTTGGCTGCAGGCCTGACACATAGACATCTCACAATCGCAACACCAGTGTTTGGCAGGAGTTGTTTCCCCTTTCCGTTCACACAGAGAACAGCTCGTAATGTCTGTAATTGAAATATGAAGACGGAATTAGTATTCCAATGTGAGAATAAGAAAGATGGTATCACCGTTATAATTCCAATATACGAATTAAAAATATGTTAATCAAATGTTACCCCAAAATATCTGTTTTTGTCAGCTGCAGCTGAAAACAAATCAGGTCTCAATACAAAATGCCAGCGACTGAAAAGGACATCAAATGGTCGGTCCCTCAACAGGCAGGTCTTGGAAAGTGGTATATTTTCAAATGGTACAGGAGCACAACTTTACTTGAAACAAACCTTTAGCGTCTGCATCAAGACTCTCCATCAGCCCCAGGATGATGTGACTTGGTTTATTCTGCCCCGCCCACTCCCCGACTGGTCTGGTGGGGTCGGGAACCCTGGTTGTCTGTCGGCAGTAGGGGCAGGGGATTGTCCTGGACTGTGTCACATCCTGTCTTGACTGTAAGTACTGGTTGAGGCATGTCCTACAGAAGGAGTGGTCACACGTCAGTGTACAGGGGTCTGTGAACACCTCGGTGCAGATCGAACACGTCAGGAAGTTGTCCGTGAGGTCCTTCGCTGAAGCCATCTAGTCAAGCTGTTGCTCGCTGATGGAAAGATGCAGGCATGATATCACGGATATACGTGTCAGGGATGTAGATGCAGGCATGATATCATGGATATACGTGTCAGAGATGTAGATGCAGGCATGATATCATGGATATACGTGTCAGAGATGTAGATGCAGGCATGATATCATGGATATACGTGTCAGAGATGTAGATGCAGGCATGATATCATGGATATACGTGTCAGAGATGTAGATGCAGGCATGATATCATGGATATACGTGTCAGAGATGTAGATGCAGGCATGATATCATGGATACACGTGTCAGAGATGTAGATGCAGGCATGATATCATTGATATACGTGTCAGAGATGTAGATGCAGGCATGCTATCATGGATATACGTGTCAGAGATGTAGATGCAGCCATGATATCATGGATATACGTTTCAGAGATGTAGATGCAGGCATGATATCATGGATATACGTGTCAGGGATGTAGATGCAGGCACGATACTAACTCTCTGTAGAGGGTAAGATTAGATAACGTTACATTCAGGCTGTATGTAACAGACTACTTTCAGATATTGTTTGTCGCTGACCGCCATGTCTGATAACGCGTGAAGCGCCATTGATTACCCTGAACCATTTATATAGTGTTATGTTATATATTTTAATAGTAGACAGGGAATAAGTTGTTTGGACGCAGTATGTTATGCACTGTACACGAGAAAACCCATAATGCATTTAATGTCGACATTTGCTTGATATCAAAAGAAGACACACATTGATGTCGATTACATTTTCCAACAGGCATACTTCTTACTTTGATAAAATAACTGAACACGAACCTTTCCACTTGGAAATGAGGAAACCTTCGACAAAAGTATTATTCTGAAGCCAAGAGTGAAAATACAACCACCTACCGGTGTGCGCCCCTGTTATCACGACCGTGATAAGGTCACAGTGAGGGTGGCAAGGGGCGTCATTCATTTATTTTCAAATGACTACATATGTGTTGTTGTCAGTTGGTGTGATTGTGGAGATTTTGAAACAAAGATCACATTTACTGACACAGTCATATTTTCATGTCCCCTTCTGTATCGCCCTACCATAGTTATTCTATTAGGGTATGTAAGAGGGTTGGTATGTGTAGCGAGAATTTAACATCAGCTCGGTACCACCAGTAAGGACCCTCAGTGATATGACTGTTGTAAGGCGCCTTGGCTCATTAAAGCCCGTATGTACTCTCTCGTGCAAAGTCAAAGACTTTTGTACATCATCAAGTAAAATATGCAAAGGATTCGTGTTAGACACAAGCATATAGTGTCGATGAATATCTGGCGTTGCAATCACAGTAAACTCAGTTCTTTTACACTAATATCATACATATCTGCTTGAAAGTCTGAGAACACCTCAGGAGGTCATGTCAGGAGAACCTTCTAATTAGCCTATGGCCATCTAGGCAACTAAATTCTTGGAAACGAACTTAATCGGCCTGTTTCGAATGTAAATAATAAAAGCCGTTACACTGTGGATATTTCACACACCCTTTAATTCTACCCATCTACAACCAAACGGCTGTAAATCAAATATTAGTGTTCTTTATATGTTTTGGTTTGAAAAAAACAAACTTTGAGGAGGAACAGAAATCTTTTTACAAAGTGAACATCTGTCCCAAGAACCCACGCCTTTTCCCTTCACAACAACACTGATACATAATACCACACGCATGGGAATCTGCCCTTGAGCTGTCTTTCAGGTAGTACTCTAGGTTAGTCTCTTTGTGTTCTCTGCATTTGTCCATGTTCTTTATATATGTATAGTGTGCAATCTGTGTGTACTGACGGAACTGTTAGTACATATATATCAACAATTCAACATACAATCTCTCTGCTTTGACGTGGTGTAACATGAACGCGTTATTGACGTTTGTGTTTGTACCTAGTCACAAAGGCAACAAACCAATTTAAACACAACTAGCTCTGTAATGTAAGTAACCCTTTAATACATGTGCACGCTGAAAATTGTGCTATGTCTGCTATTATTTGTTTAAATTTGTTATTAGTAATTCTCGTTGGTATATCTTCAAGGAAGTTTACTCAAAATGTATGATGCAATCTATGTCTCACGTCCGTGTTGTTAATTGTGGGATAGGCGATATCAGAAGTAAGCCTTCAACAACAAGGAAAGATAATATATTACGGAAGTTAGAAGTATCTGATGATTTCGGTGTAAGCCTTAAATGTCGAAAATGTTTTCAAAGATTACAGATTTTCATTTAAAAAATGCTCCACACTATTTGGTCAGACATTTTGATCTTAAAACATTCTGCATACAATGGACATTTATTTGTCTGCAAATGATGTATAATACAATCGGCGTTAATTAAGCAATGTTACAAGACAACTGGGATAGTGTCCGAGTGTGTAAGAAGTACCTTTCTTTGGCATAACCTGCCAACTTACGTGATTTTCACAAGATTACATAATTTCATTTGAAATCTGCTGCTCAGTATTAGATCCGACATTTTGATTTTCACCAGCACCCGTGTAAAGGGAGGGAAAATGCGATGCACGCTGTATGCTATAACGTAGATTGTGATGGAAGGAACCGGTTCTGAAGGTCAAGTCCGTGGCAAATCAACGTTTAGGCAAACAAATTTTCGTCTTCTTCAGTAGGCGTTACATCACCAGATTGCGTCGACAGAGTGTGGGTGGCTGCTTGTACAAGTCAGGGCTGATGCCGATTTCATAGTGCTAGCAAGCTGAGATACTATGCCGCAGTTTAACATGAATACCCCACTCAGATTCAGTAAACTATCTCCGAGCCGACAATTTCTTGTTTTAGCCTCTTAATGCTTAAGGCAGGGAAACAATAGGTACCATCTTTTAACGGCGAGGTGAGGTGAATAAGGTTTAATCTCGCGTTCAAGATTATTACACTTATATAGCGACGTATGTGTGTGTGTGTGTGTGTGTGTGTGTGTGTGTGTGTGTGTGTGTGTTTGTGTGTGGCTGCTTGTTCTAGTCCGGACTAATGCCGATTTTATAGTGATAGCCCACTGAGATACAATGCCGCAGTTTAACATGAATACCCCACTCAGGCTCAGTATACTGGCTCCGAACCGACCATTCCTTGTTTTCTCCTGATAAAGCCCAGCGCCAGGTGGGGTACCAACAAGCACAACCTTTCAACGTCTCTTGGTACGACGCGGCCGGAGATCGAACCCCCGACCTTCCGCTCTCCGGGCAGACGCTCTATCCACAACACATCGGAGGCGGTCCTAAAGGAGGTTAAGGTACACTACCAATACAGGACCTCTGTGATGCAAGAAGGGCCGAAACAGGCCAACAAAACGGTTGCTATCCACATGAATCAGTTACATAATTTAGTGAGTGAGTGAATGGTGTTTTAGTCCAGCCGAACATATTTGCCATAGATTGTGGCCTGTAACTAGTGGTTGATTGTGTGAACAACAACCCACGTATGCTGACAAACAATCCACAGGGTGAATTGGTCGTCACTCGTGGTCGCCCACCCAAGTACTATCTATACCCAGTAGCCATGATAACGATACATTCGGATCCATTCGGATCCACTCGAGTAATTGGTATTGGCTTTGCTGGCACTATTCCTCCAGTTGTACCGTAAAGTTCCACCACACAGGTGCGATATAAACGTTATCTGTCTTCAGATTGTGACAGCCCGTGTCAAGCCGGTATCTGCACACGTGCCTTGTTTGTGAAAGCCCTCATCAAGGCAGTGTCTTCACACGTGCCTTGTTTGTGACACCCCGCATTAAGGCAGTGTCTGCACACGTGCCTTGTTTGTGACAGCCTGGGTCTAGACTGTGTCTGCACACGTGCCTTGTTTGTGAAAGCTCGTGTCAAGGCAGTGTCAGCACACGTTCCTTGTTTGTGACAGCCCGAATCTGGAGTGTCTTTACACGTGCCTTGTTTGTGACAGCCTGCATCAAGGCAATGCCTGCACACGTGCCTTGTTTGTGACTGCCCGATTCTATAGTGTCTCTACACGTGCCTTGTTTGTGACTGCCCGAATCTGGAGTGTCTTTACACGTGCCTTGTTTGTGACTGCCCGAATCTATAGTGTCTCTACACGTGCCTTGTTTGTGACTGCCCGAATCTGGAGTGTCTTTACACGTGCCTTGTTTGTGACTGCCCGAATCTGGAGTGTCTTTACACGTGCCTTGTTTGTGACTGCCCGAATCTGGAGTGTCTTTACACGTGCCTTGTTTGTGACTGCCCGAATCTATAGTGTCTCTACACGTGCCTTGTTTGTGACTGCCCGAATCTGGAGTGTCTTTACACGTGCCTTGTTTGTGACTGCCCGAATCTGGAGTGTCTTTACACGTGCCTTGTTTGTGACAGCCTGCATCAAGGCAATGCCTGAACACGTGCCTTGTTTGTGACAGCCCGAATCTATAGTGTCTGCACACGTGCCTTGTTTGTGACAGCCCGCATCAAGGCAGTGTCTTCACACGTGCCTTGTTTATGACAGCCCGCATCAAGGCAGTGTCTGCACACGTGCCTTGTTTGTGACTGCCCGCATCAAGCCAGTGTCTGCACACGTGCCTTGTTTATGACAGCCCGCATCAAGGCAGTGTCTTCACACGTGCCTTGTTCATGACAGCCCGCATCAAGGCAGTGTCTGCACACGTGCCTTGTTTGTGACTGCCCGCATCAAGCCAGTGTCTGCACACGTTCCTTGTTTGTGACAGCCTGCATCAAGGCAGTGTCTGCACACGTGCCTGTTTAAAAAAGGCCGTGTCTAGGCAGTGTCTTCACACGTGCCTTGTTTATAACATCCCGCATCAAGGCAGTGTCTGCACACGTTCCTTGTTTGTGAAATCCCGTGTCAAGGCAGTGTCTGGACACGTGCCTGATGGTGAAATCCCGTGTCAAGGCAGTGTCTGCACACGTGCCTGTTTGTGAAATCTCATGTCAAGGCAGTGTCTTGACACGTGCCTGTTTGTGAAATCCCGTGTCAAGGCAGTGTCTGCACACGTGCCTGTTTGTGAAATCCCGTGTCAAGGCAGTGTCTGCACACGTGCCTGTTTGTGAAATCCCATGTCAAGGCAGTGTCTGCACACGTTCCTGTTTATGACAGCCCGTGTCTTGGCAGTGTCTGCACACGAAATCTGTTTGTTATTGTCCCAATGAAGGAAACACCGTCTCAACGAAACAGGATCTAGACAACCATTGTATATCAGGAAATGTATTTTTCTACTATCTGATAGAAACGTATTGTTCTTTGTGTGCATGCTTTGGGTAAGGGTCTGGGTGGTGATGTCTGTCGCTCACGTTGCCATAACACGTATACGTATGCACACATGCACCTTTTATTACGTTGTATGTTACATTTGTGTTCTGTGAGGATAATAACTTACACTTAGCTTGATTTGATCTTGTAAACAGAATGCAAACATTGCTGTGACTGTTTACATCGTGTAGAGAGACAGTGTGCAGATCCTCAGTATTTAGATCTACCATGAAATTAATTATAAGTAATGTATACTCCCCAGGGAGCTGGGAATGATTCCTGAGTGCACACTGATCCAGCTTTGAGCATGCATCTGGGTGTTGTGAAAATATGCGCAATATAAATGGCCTATTATTATTATTATTATTTTTATTATTATAAGTAGACCACTGGAGGTGGTGAAAAGGTCTACGTTACATGTAAAGGTAACAATAGGTTGGTCGGATCAAGCATCGGACTCTAGCAAATTCTTATTTGAATAATGTCCTGTCAGACGTTTTTATTTCATTGAGATCTTTGAGAACACAGCTGACAAAATCGTTTTGTCCGAGAAATGCGTTTGGGGCTTTTCTTGGAAAATAGGATCATTTGCGTTGATTGGGTTAAAGGGCGCATCGTGTTTATCCCTTTACATGCCCATGTTAATCACAATGAGTTAAATGACGAAATAGTTCCATTGTTTGAACATTGGTTAGGCTGTTCTAAGCTCTGTCTGGCGGGGTGACCGTGGTACAGTTGTCATTTCCCCTGAAGCATGTTCCACAACCAGATAAAGTGCTCAGGCACACACAGAGAAAAACAATATAACCATGTCAACTATTATAATCTAAAAGGGGCGGTGGGTTAGCCTAGTGGATAAAACATCCGCTCGTCACACTGAAGGCCCGGGTTCGATTCCCCACATAGGTACAATGTGTGAAGCCCATTTCCGAAGTCCCCCGGGGTGGTGTTGCAGGAATAGTTAAGAAAATGGCATAAAAACAATACTCATTCATTCACTCACTCACTCACTCACTATAATCTAAATGGCGTGATTGTTCCATTTCTGAAGATAAAAAGTTTTTGTTCTAGTTGTGACATCATGGCACCCCTGATACTAAAGTTGCTGGTTGATACAACAAGCACCTTGCAGAGACTAAGGACAGTTTGATCGAGTAGTGCCATCTCAAGGCCCAAGCAAGCACCAGATGTATGTCCTTGAAGGTCAATATGAAGCACTGCACCATCCGTGTCAATTTCCCGGACACCGAACCAGTTCCTGGCTCTATTGCGAACATCCACTGAGTCACTTGCTATAAAAACACGACTAGCGTTTTTATATTTAGACAGAAACCTCCATAAGGAGTCAACTGAAGATAATGCGTTTATTTGAGAAGCGTCATTGGGTATGCTGGGATTTTTCCTCATTCGAATGTGAGCGCAGACTAAATCTCCTTCTTTAGGAACTCTGTTCATGAACCTGTTGATACGTTTCCCAAATTGAATAGACGGTATCACCAGAAGGTGCCATATAGCTTGAAATATCTGAGCACGGTTTTTGGTTTTAAACTCTTTCGGAACAAGGCGACCATATCTGGGACTGTTCTTAATTCTGTTGATGATGTCTTGGTTTGTTCTCAAGAAGACAACATCGCTTGGAAACTTTAGGTTGAAGTCACTTTCAACGTCAACAACACCATTGCGGTTATTCATCCAATCCACATTCTCCCGACTCAGATCTTGAATGTCCTTCACCTTCACATTCCAGTTGACCATATTTGGAATATAGAACATCTTGATATCGCAAGGATAGGACATATTGATACCAAACTGTCGGCCTGTTACCTTAGCAAGCAGGTAGGCAGCTACTATGCCCCTCTGTCTGTCGCCCCAACCTCCACAGCGACCCTTCTTGTCGCAGAGGTAGATGAGGTACCGTCTGTGGGGTCCATAGGCGCGTTTAGTGTCATTCCTGTTGGACTCAGGTACCTTCTCTGTCGTTTTTTCTTTGTAATCAGTTCCCTTCACGACACGAGGTGCTTGTGGATTCTCTGCGGCCTTATGCTTCGTCTTCAATGGTTGTCCAGCTCTGGCACCAGCAGCGAACACAAGGCTCTCCTGCCTGGCACTCATGTTTGAGACAGCAGCTACATTCCAAGGACTGGAACCAATCAGTAAACAGTAAACAATGATATACACCAATGTAATATTCCACAGTAAACAATGGTATACAGGTATAACATATCGCAAAAGGGGGCACGGGTGGCCAGTCGTCTAAAGCGCCGCAATTCCCTGTACAGAGTTGCGTTCCTTGGGCACGACAGTAACCATTGATTGTGGGTTCGAATCCCGGTTCGCCCCGATTATGTTTCTAGGTTTGTCAGTACCATACCCGTGCTCGTTGGTTTCACTGAAGTGATACACGTCTAAGACATCACTTTGGGCTTTCCTCCCACATTAAGCCGACACGCCGTGATATAACTGGAATACTGTTAAAAGCGAAAAACAAAACTCACCCACTCACTCACTCATATCGCAAAAATATTAATGCATTGGGAACATAAGTAATGTCACCTTGCAATCTGATAACCATTCGCATTTGAACATACAAATAGTAAGAGATGAGGTGAAATAGGGTTTAATATTCTGTTCAACTAATTCTGTGCGTGCGTGTTTAAGTTAGACACAGAATAGTGACTCCTAGCCGACCAGTCCTTGTTTTATCCCTTTCTTGAGCACCAGGCGGGGTAACAACAAGTACCAGCTTTTAACGTCTTTTGATATGGTGCCGCCAGGGGATCGAACGACCGACCTTCCGCTCTCTGGGCCGAAACGCTCTATCCACTAGACAACAGAACGTGTTTAATGGAAAGAGTGAGTGAGGTAGTTAGGTTCTTTCAGGCTTTGAGCATGTCTTTAGTTGTATTAGGACGTGTCAGCTTGTCACGGAAATGCAAGATTTAGACGGTTGCGACTTAAGGGAAACCCATGAGCACAGCTGTCAGGTATAGTACTGAAAAACAAAGAGTAGTAAGGCCGATCTGGGATTCGAACCAACTATTAAAGGGTTCTTGCGCGCCTAGACTCTGCGCAGAACATAGCGACGCCTTAGACGCAGCTGTGCCAGCACTGGCGGAAAGAAATGAAGGAATTCACTTAAATATTGTAACAGAAAAGGTCTTAGTATTTAGTTATCAATAACACTGAACTTTAGAAACATTATACACGCTTTTCATCCTCCGGTTATCTTCTTGGTACGTCACATAAAACAACACTTCCCTGCTTATGTCTCCCGTTATTTGATAAGCAATATCATTAAAGTCAGATCTAGTTCTCGCAGCCGCTAAACAAAGATCTGAGGAGATGCCATTACGGGTCACGTTAGAACCACCTTTCGCGAACTTTGCCCGACCACTGAAATGAATAACAAGAAGTCGACATCAGCGAATTAGAATGCAGCTTTATCGAGCTTTACGGCACGCGTTTCAACCTGGCGACTTCCATTTCAGACTACGTTTGAGAGATATGTTGACATAGTTCTCGATTATAATTTTGAAAACTGAACAAACGAACATTCTGGAATGTCCAATATATGGCTGAGATTGTTTGGCAGTGCTTCCCACCTACTGTGCAACGCCCCCTCCGTTCAAATGTTTATCCCACAGAAGCGAGAGATGGACGATAATTTTGACGGAATCAGTCATACGGGCCGTAACTGTAGTTCGGAATACATAACATTTTCGAGGTTGCATGATTAAAAACACATTCCGACTGTCACTTTCATGATCTGGTAGGCGACGTTTACATTGGTCGGATGAAAGGTCGTTCTGACGTGACCCATAATGGGATATCCTCAGATCTTTGTTTAGCGATAGAGAGAGCTAAGATCTGATTTTAATGAGATTGTTTGTTGAGGGTCCGTCAGTTTATTTTTTTTATAATATGCAAAATGAAGGCGTTGTATCTATAAAATGTCAAATGTACTTATACATGGTGTGGGCCTGGTAGAATTGCGCTCGTTGAATACACCAGAAACCAATGATTGCTGGTTCGAATCCCGGTTCACCCCAATTATGTTTCTAGGTTTGTCAGCACCACACCGTGCTCGTGGGTCATCACTGAGGAGAACGTCAGAGACCTGCAGCAATTCGGGCTCACATTTATTTCCTCTCACATTTATCTGACACGCCGTGAAATACTGTTTAAAGCGGAGTTAAACCACCTCACTCATTCTTGTTTTGTGTGTATCTGTTGGTAGAAGACAACGTAGTGAGTAGCGGCTGTTTTGTTAAAAGTATAATTGTAAAATATAAGTGTTACCCCTTTGGTAAGAGTAACAGCTGATATTCGCGACGTGACAGGGAATGCGTAATACTGTGAATAACCAGGGGAATAACATCTTTGCGCCATGGACCGTGATGTGGTGATGTGGTAGAGCGGAGGGTCAGGGGTTCGATTCCTAGGCGCGTCATACCAAAAGAGGTTTAAAGTTGGTACTTGTTGTTACTCTGCCTGGCGCTCGGCATCAAGGGGCTAAAACAAGGACTGGTCGGCTCGGAGTCTGAGTATACTGTGTCTGAGTGAGGGATTCATGTTTAACTGAGGTATGGTATCTCAGTGGGCTTGAACTATAACTCGGCATCAGTCCGGACTAGTACAAGCAGCCACACACACGTGCATGCACGTCGCACTATAAGTGCAACTTGGAAAAAGGTGAAACACCATTTCACCTCACCTCACCTTTGCGCCATGGGTCAATAGCATGACCTTGTTAAAGAACTTGGAGTCGGCGCCAAGTTGCCGTCAGGTTGACACAATTTGGACAAAAGTGTGCTGGCGTTTTCTTTAATATTAAGATTAAAATAAAATTAAAAAAACCAATATGTTACGTCATAAATATGTCTTGAAAAGAGTACAGTGCTAAGTTCACTTAAAACAACCAACAGGAATGTGAATAGTGCCGTGCTTATACTTATCCCGCGTTGTATCGTGGCTCATACAAACAAGCTTTCACATTGGTAGTGTATACAATGTCCTCTACAGTGAACCCCTGATAATCCGGACGTCAAATTTCGAATGAAATCCTAGTTGTAGTTGCCCCTCTGTACTACACAGATGTCCAGACAGTACTTGTCCGGAATGCACGGTGTCCGCACTAACGGGAGTTATGAAATATCGGGGTTTACGGACTATTGAGTTTCCGGACAAACGGGGATTTCGGACTATCGGGATTTCACTGTATGAAACACATGGTACCTGAGTCCATAGGCTAGCAGGAATGGTCGGGATGATCCAGTGGTTAGGATGAAGAACCAGGCGACCACCAGGAAGATGGCTGCAAGTACACCGAGACGCATCCTCCTGAAATAAGTCCACACAATTATATACCTGAATAGTTTCAGGAACCTGCAGCCCTGGTCCCTTTAGTATTTTACTTCGTGGTTACTGGGTTTTGAGTTCCACTGCACAAGTATGGCACTCTACTATGTGTATACGCCCTATGAAGATACGGGAAAGAGAATAGGTCTTCAGCAACCCATGCTTGTGACCCGTGAAGATCCGGGTAGAATAGGTCTTCAGCAACTCATGCTTGTGACCTGTGAAGATCCGGGGTAGAATAGGTCTTCAGCAACCCATGCTTGTGACCCGTGAAGATCCGGGTAGAATAGGTCTTCAGCAACCTATGCTTGTGACCCGTGAAGATCGGGGGAAGAATAGGTCTTCAGCACCTATGCTTGTGACCCGTGAAGATCCGGGATAGAATAGGTCTTCAGCAACTCGTGCTTGTGACCCGTGAGTATCCGGGGTAGAATAGGTCTTCAGCAACCCATGCTTGCCGTAAAAGGCGACTATGCTTGTCGTAATCGCCGACTAAGGAAATCGGGTGGTCAGACTGACTTAGTTGATGCATGTAACCGTAAGCCAAAGATCGCTGACATATAGATGGAATAAACAAAAAAACAACATCATAAAACTTTATCCCACTTGCGTAGATCGATGCTCATGATGTCGATCACTGGATTTTCTGATCCAGACTCGAATATTTACAGACCGTCGTCATATAGCTGGAGTATTGCTGAGTGCGGCGTTAAACAACAAACATACACACAAACAAAATCACTATCATCAAAGATACTTTTGCCAACGAGTATATATTTGATTATGATTGGATACTTAGGGTCACGTGGACACTGTTCAGATCAAATGAGACTTGATGCTTGAAGCTTGAAGATACGCACATGAATTCACATGATAGTTGAAACACAATAACAATCTTCATAAACAACAACAACATATGTATATACAGACCATTAACTCACCTGCTTCTTAAACTGCATACTTGTCGACAGCAGTACGTCTTTGATAACCTCAAAGCAATCTGCATCCTCGCGACGCAGAAACTTGCTTCAAAATCCTTCCGACACAATGAACACAATATCCAAGTAAATAAACAGGTTTACAACACTTCTCACACCCCACCCAGATGAACCTACGGCAGGCGACACGACCGATCAGTAGGCGACGGAGAAGCCCCTGTGTGGTGAACACACATACATCACCTACACAGCGTGGACCGCTAAACACTGCGACGTATCTCTATTCTTCAACCGACCTGAACGCGACGATGCACTGGGTCAACGACACGCCTGTCGCTATAGGGTGTGGTCAAACCGCAGTCCTTTTTTTATAAGATTTGTAATGGGCTCACAACGGATTTCACGTTCTATGAACGTGTGCGTAGACACGGTGACCAGTGCGATGGAGCATTGTGCATCTGCCTTGCTGGAGACAACACTGGTTGAATTTCAAGTTGAATCGCTTGACTGGTTTTCCACCAGCGAGCATGGGTGACTGATTTCTCGCAGTGTCGGATCAACACGTATATATATTTTATATATTTTGAATATGATATATGTTATGTTCTGTCATATTAAATGTACAGAGTTGGACATTGTTCCTGCTTTGTTGTAACAGCTTGACGTATCGTAAGTACTATGACAAACCAATACCCAACTTCCGTACGCCGAGACTTTGTAAACACAAGGGACGTCACTCCGGCACTGCAACTACCCACTCGGGTACATTCGGCTCATACCGCCACCCATGTGTGAAACGAACGGGGTGTACTGCTTGTAGTCCCGCGGCGGTTATCTCCCTTGGTTTAGACAGCGCACAGGCAATCAACGGATTTAATGACATTTTGAGGTGAGGCGAGGTGAGAAGACAAGGATTGATCCACGATTTGTAAAATGGTGTTCCAAAGGTGTGGGGGTCGAGGTGTGTGTGTGTGTGTGTGTGTGTGTGTTCGCGCTTGTTTGTGTTTGTGCGTGTGTGGTGTTTCAGGACCCCTCTCGCGTTCAATAGTATTGTACTTATACCACGGACCTATATAACCTATCCAGGTTATACAAGTCCGTGCTTATACAGATGTGGTGGTGAAATAGGGTTTAACGTCGCTTCCAAGATTATAACACTTATGCAGCGACGTGCATGCACGTGTGTGTGTGGCTGCTTTAATAGTCCCGACTGATGTCGATATACAGTACTAGCTCACTGAGATACCTTGCCGCAGTTTAACATGAATACCCAACTCAGACACAGTATACTTATATAAATTACTCAGAACCGACCAGTCCCTGTTTAAGCCCCTTAATGCCGAGCGCCAGGCAGGGTAACAACAAGTACCTTCTTTTTACTTCTTTTCGTATGGCGTGGCCGGGGATCGAACTCCGGGCCTTCTGCTCTCCGGGCGGACGCTCTACCACAACACCACGGGGGCGGTCCATGGCGCAAAGATGTTATTCCCCTGGTTATTCACAGTATGACGCATTCCCTGACACGTCTCGAATATCAGCTTTTACTCTTACCAAAGACGTAACACTTATATTTTACTGTTATTCTTTAAACAAAACTAGCTTCGACAGCCGCTACTCACTACGTTGTCTTCTACCAATGGATACACGACACACAAGAATGAGTGAGGTGGTTTAACTCCGCTTTGAACAGTATTTCACGGCGTGTCAGATAAATGTGAGAGGAAATAAATGTGAGCCCGAATTGCTGCAGGTCTCAGACGTATTCCTCTGTGGTGAAACCCACTCAGACACAGTAAATGACTCCGAGCCGACCAGTCCTTGTTTTAGCCCCTTAATGCCGAGAACCAGACATGGTAACAACAAGTACCATCTTAAATTTTCCTTTGGTAGTTGACCCACTAGCTTGGCAGCTTGCTGTTTACTGATGGGGCGCCTCCTCCTAAAGCCTATGGCTTGTCCCAGAGTTACACAGCAGCCATGTTGTATATGTCCTGGCTGGTTGCACCTGAAACAATTGGGCTCTCCAGTAATGGAATCCTTAGAGAGTTGCTGATTCCTAGAATTCCCTCTCTTATCCTGGTACCATGATGGCAATCCTGGCGGAGGTGGAGGCTACAGATTCGGCGATGGTCCTATGGGTCCTGGGTTTCTGTTCATCTAAGGAACAGAGGAAACAGGGAATGGGTTATTCTGTTGCTTCTTCAGTTCTGCAACTTCACTAGTCAGCTGTCTCAACAATACCTTGATCTCCTTCATCTCAACGTCCTGTGTGTTTGCAGCGGCCATCCAGTTCCTCTCTGCTTCAAATCCACTTCAGCTCTCTGCAGGGCTCTGAGAAGGTCACCACGGCGGACAGCTACCTGTGTGAGGAAAGTATTACAATTCCTACACGTTTTACCTCTGAGATAAAACCACGAACTCTCGAATTACGCTGAAAATCCAATTAACGTCAGCAGAATGAATCTATGAATTATTACAACGATCAGCTTATCCTGATGCGGCTAAGGGACGCGACTCTGCATGAGCAGTTAGACCACCTGTGTCTTCGCAGTAAATAAAGATTAGTTTAGATGTTGTGTGATATAACAACACTTATGTTTGTATGTTATGTGTATCAGGGCAATACAAGGATATAAATAACACACTGAACAAACTCTAAACAGTGATTATACAGTTTTATCACAACGTGTCAGTTTGACGTGACAGGAAACAGGAAGTGATGCAGGGCTCCGATAATGACATGCTGACAAACCTAGATACATATACTGGCTCGCCAAACGATGTACAATCCTTAAACGACTGGGCAGACTGTGCCTCGTTTCTGTTTAAGATATGGTTTATTGTTTACTTGCATGCTCTAAGCGATCCTACACCACAAAACGTTTTACACACTGAGAAGGTACCAAACTTTTAGAGTTGTCATTATATCAAGTAGTACGACTGACCCTTCCCTTGCTGGTCAGATTCAAATGCTCATCTTTGAACAAGGCTGCATGTAGAAGTGAAATAGTTTGACCAGGAATTATTAAGAATTTATCATCACATTTTGGTTAATGTGGCCATGTTTTTGTAAAACGTATTCTGAAGTTGATTCGAAGGGGACAACTCCGCGTGTTATATTTGTAAACAAGCTAGCAGACGGCAAACAAGACCACCGTGCAAGTGGCAGCTTTAAATAAGAGAAAGATTACTTCTGAATTATACAATAAAGGACTCAGATCAGCACATGTCATTACAGAGAGAAGAGACATTCCATTATCCGTGTACCGTGTTTTGAAAAATATTGAGAGTGGAGATGGAATTGGGCGCACAATTGGAGCAGGTAGGCAAACGAAATACACTGTTGGCGACAGAAGGCGACTTGGTATATTGGCGTCTGAAAACAGACGCATGAGCATAGAAACTATTAGGCATGAAATGATTAACAGAGAAATAGTTCATGCTCAAGAGACAAAGAGAACGCATTTGTATAATATGGAATGGCAGAATCACGAGGAATTTCTTCACCACTCCTAAAACCTGTAGATCTACAGCAAGAACGACGTTTGAGCAGATAAATGTCTACTGGGACAATGTAATGTTCTCAGATAAAAGTTCAGTGTGGCTGTATCCAACCTGCATTATCATGTGGAACAAACGTACAGATAGAACAATTTACCAGCGTCAAAGTACATAGGGACATCTCCCTCCAACGTCACAAATTTTGTATAGTGACATTTTGGGCATTTCAGCGCGACAATGATCCAAAACAAAGTTATGCATTCTCAGGAATGGTTTAACGAGAAAAATTTTCCACTCCTGGAAGGACCCAGCTACAGTCCGGACATGAACCCAACTGAAACTATTAGGGGAATCATGAAGGACAAACTCGTTAATAAATTCTAAAAAATACATGTGATATTAAAGCAGAGTTGGTGATATATTGGGACAGTGTGACTCGTGACTTTCCGACTTCCTTCATAGGCAGTATGCCTCTCCTCATTGAAGCGTGTATTAGGTAAAGAGGTGGTCTGACAAAATATTGAAATGTTTACTGTTTTGTAGCTTTACGTAAGAAGAGATTGTTGGAAAAACTTATCTCTTGGTCTATGACTTAATAAACATATAATTTACAATGTTGTAATTCTCAATAATTTCTGGTCAAACTATACATGTCGTTTACCATAATCTGCACAGAACATCCAAAGTATCTGACAACTCCAGTATTAGGTTGGTTGTTTAACGCCGCACTCAGCAATATTCCAGCTATATGACGTCGGTCTGCAAATAATCGAGTCTGGACCAGGCATTCCAGTGATTAATGTCATGAGCATCGATCCACGCAATTGGGATCGATGACATGCATCAACCAAGTCAGCGAGCCTGACCAGCCGATCCCGTTAGTCGCCTTTTACGACAAGCATAGTCGCCTTTTACGGCAAGCATGGGTTGCTGAAGACGTATTCTACCCCGGATCTTCACGGGTATCCAGTATTAGGTCGATCAGTCCATCACAACCAATACTTAAAATGCAACCTTCTAAGTATAAGCGACAAAACCATATATATCCATGTTCATAAGAAACCTCTGCTAAAAGTAGGGTCCATTGTACGATTCCGACTATATCATGAGCATTTTTGTATGTATCACTATCAAATAGTGATGATAACAGGTGTTCGCGAAATGGTGAGCGTGCCCTGCGATCATGTCGATGACAGCCATCATAAACACACGCAAAGGCAAGTCAGTTGTTCACCTAAAAAAATATGGGAACAAAAGTCAAAATAGGGAATTGCATCGGACAACATTTCGATCACTGATGCGTGGAATTTGGAAATGTCCTCCACATGTCTACCGTAAAACTTTTCAAAGCTTTACTGAGGTCTTGAAAGTTGTAACCGTGATCATTCAACTTTTGAGCAAGAGTCGTATGACACTCTTTGAAATTTTGGTAGAAAGAGCATGCTCGACTATACCTCCAAAGTTGTGAAATGTAAACACCAAAGGCTGAAGCTGAAGGAGTATTGTTCGACATAAAGGGAAAGTAGACTATTGCAAAGTTGAAGTCACCTCTCTTGTCTTAAAGTCACGTACGTGGAGAGTGTTTTGTCACTATGAATCTTTATGCATAGATCTAAACATGAAACATTCGAGGCAGTCACACTGATCTGTATTTCTAGTTCAGATGGGTAAATCAGTGGACGGGAATTGGCTATTGGATGGTTATCGAACCATATTAGATCATGGATATATCCGAAACTAAAGTTAAACTCTTGGCCGAATTACCTTGTTTTCTCTTTGCCAATCCAGGCAGCAATTCCGATTCATATGCATAAAGAAACATACACAAGAAGGGGAGTGCACTTGGTGCCCATGGGGACGACTACTTCTTGCCTAAAGGTCTTTCCCCAAAATTGTAAAATAGGTGTTTTGCACAGTACAACAGTACATTGTTCCTTTTTAGAAGTTCCTACAGGTCACTGTGGTATAGTTCACCTAGAGTATTTTCACTTGTAGATAAAATGCATAAACACACGAATTATACACAGTGAAAAACATTATTATCATGTCAACCATTAAATCTAAATGGCGTGATTGTTCCATTTCTGAAGATAAAAAGTTTTTGTTCTAGTTGTGACATCATGGCACCCCTGATACTAAAGTTGCTGGTTGATACAACAAGCACCTTGCAGAGACTAAGGACAGTTTGATCCAGTAGTGCCATCTCAAGGCCCAAGCAAGCACCAGATTTATGTCCTTGTCGGTCTATATGAAGCACCACACCATCCGTGTCAATTTCCCGGGCACCGAACCATTTCCTGGCACTATTTCGTACATCAAGAGAGTCACTTGCTATGAAGACACGACTGTGATTGTCATGCTCAGACAAAAATCTCCATAAGATATCTACAGACGATAACGAATTTATAGGAGCACCGTCATTTGAAATGGTAGGTTTTTTCCCAATTCGGACGTGAGCACAAACTAACTCGCCGTTCTTTGGAATGCTGTTCATAAACCTGTCTAAATGTTCTTCAAAATGAAAGGATTTCCTCATTAGAATGTGCCATATAGTTTGAAAGACTTGAGCACGGCTTCCGTCTTTAAACTGCTTTGGAACAAGGCGACCATATCTAGAACTCTTTTTTATTCTGTTGATGATATCGCGGTTTGTTCTTAGGAAGATGACATCACTAGGGTATTTCATGTTAAAGTCGATATCAACGTCGACAACGCCCTTGCGGTTATCCATCCAATCCACCATTTCCCAATTCAAACCACGAATGTCCTTCACCTTCACATACCAGTCGACCAAATTTGGGACATAGAATATTTTGATGTCACAAGGATAGGACATATTGATACCAAACTGTCGACCTGTTACTTCAGCAAGTAGATAAGCAGCTACTATTCCCTTCTGTCTGTCGCCCCAACCTCCACAAGAACGAATTTCGTCACACAGGTAGATGAGGTACCGCGGGTGTTGTCTTACGTTGGCGTTTGATGTATAACTGTCGGACGGTGTCATGTTCTCTTCAAGCTTGTCTTTGGTAGGTGTGTTCTTGTTCTTGCTATGATTGGTCTTGTCCTGGTCCTGCATAGCCCTAACGGGTGAGAAGGTGTCGCCTTTATCGTGTGTGGAATTCTCCTTTGTAACACTCATGTCAGATGCAGCGACCTCCCTCGCGCTGGAAGAAATGTAATCTGTTTTAAAAAAAAGCGAAACAACCTTTTCTATAATCATAATAATAATAATAAATAAATACAGCGACAAAACCCTTTCCATATCCAAAAGAAATCTATGCATAAAGCAGAGTCGATTGTATAATTCCGAGTATATCATGTGTGTATGAATCACTATCAAATAGTAATGATACCAGGTGTTCGCGAAAAGGTGAGCGTATCCTGCCCCACCGGTGGCAACCATCATAAACTCATGCAAAGGCAAGTCAGTTGTTCACCTGAAAAAACATGGGAACATATGGTACAAGTCAAAATAATGTATTGCATCGGACATCATTTTTGTAACTGATGCGAAAAATTTAGAAATGTCCTCCACATGTCTACCATAAAACATTTTGAAAGCTTTACTGAGGCCCTGACTGTTGTAACCTTGATCAAACAGCTTCTGAGTAAGACCCGTATGGCACTCTTTGACATCTTGGTAGAAAGAGCATGCTCGATTGTACCTCCAAAGTTGTGAAATGTGAACACCAAAGGCTGGAGCTGCTGGAATATTGCTCTCGACATGAAGGGAAAGTTGACTATTTGAAAGTTGAATTCATCCCTCTTGTCAAACAGTCTTGTGGGGAGTGTTTTGTCACTCTGAATCTTTATGCATAGATCTTAACGGGAAACAGGCGAGGTTGTCTCACTGGTCTCCTGTATTTCTAGTTCAGGTTTGTAAATCAGTGGAAGGGAATTGGCTATTTGATAGTTACTGAGCGACATCCGATCATCGATATACCTGAAGCTTAAGATAAACTTCTTGGCCAAATTACCTTGTTTTGACTTTGTCAATCCGAACAGAAATTTCGATTCATATGCATAAAGAAACAGAAACAATGAGGAAGTCCAGCATATTGTTATTAACAGCGCAGGTTCGTTAGTGTACAACAACCACGTCAGTCATAAAACCCGTGAAGATCCGGGGTAGAATTGATCTTCAACCCATGCTTGTCGTAACGGGATCGGGTGGTCAGGCTCGCTGAATTGGTTGATGGATGTCATTGATTACATTTGCCTGGATCGATGCTCATGATGTAAATCACTGGATTGTCTGCTACAGGCTCGATTATTTACAGACCGCCGTCATATAACTGGACTATTGCTGAGTGCAGCGTTAAACAACAAACAAACAGTCATGCATTGAGGTAATTAGTATCACATGGCGAGGAGATCCACTTTGCAGTACACTGACCACTACCACAGACCACTGAAACTTCTGGATACCCTGCGTATGTGTTAACCCAGCCTTTGTAGACGCACTGCTCGTTAAACTGAAGAATGGCTTCGAGGTGGTATATCGCAAAGGTTGTGAATGATGTGAGACTTCAAGGCACATAGGATTATGTTTTGTTAAGTTGCACCTCAGTGTGTAATCACATGACTGCATTATGACTATATTAAATTTTGAATTTGTATGGTACACTTTCCAATCTATAACAGCTCAAATGCCCTGAGACCATGCTATGTTTCATCACATATTCTCAACACAAAATATGAGTAAATTGCAAAAATACAACTCTGGAAAACTCCGTCTGTACAGTAGCCTGCTACTAAACCTAGTCTGTACAAACATGACTTGACCAAAATGGAAATGATTTACTTTACTTTTACAATGTGAATACTAATACACGCGACCATTGATATATAAAGGTGGCTGCCAATACGACTTCGTACATTTATCGACTATAGAAACATGAAATCAATGTGTTCAATCATTTATCGACTAAAGAAACATGAAATCAATGTGTTCAATCATCTACGATCGTAGGGCTATGGAAACATCGGGACCTGTTCAGTTAGTATGAATCACAGGCAATGACAACTTTCACGTTAGGTTCAAGTTTAATCATGTGGTTTGGGAGAATGTTCATTTACGTGTAGTGCATGGCTGGTTTAAATTTTCAGTTGTCAAAAAATCTATATCATTGCATACTTTTAAGTCTGTCTGAAAACATTATAACAAAATATCGGTCACTCTGAGCAAATTCTATTGAAACCCTTGTTTGCCGGCATCGAGGTGATAAAACATTATACCAAGGTAAACCTTCCCTTATCATTCCATGCTTATCTCCCCGTAAAGATCCGGGTTAGAACTGGTCTTCAGCAACCCATGCTTATCTCCCCGTAAAGATCCGGGTTAGAACTGATCTTCAGCAACCCATGCTTATCTCCCCGTAAAGATCCGGGTTAGAACTGATCTTCAGCAACCCATGCTTGTCTCCCCGTGAAGATCCGGGTTAGAACTGATCTTCAGCAACCCATGCTTATCTCCCCGTGAAGATCCGGGTTAGAACTGGTCTTCAGCAACCCATGCTTATCTCCCCGTAAAGATCCGGGTTAGAACTGATCTTCAGCAACCCATGCTTGTCTCCCCGTGAAGATCCGGGTTAGAACTGATCTTCAGCAACCCATGCGTATCTCCCCGTGAAGATCCGGGTTAGAACTGGTCTTCAGCAACCCATGCTTATCTCCCCGTGAAGATCCGGGTTAGAACTGATCTTCAGCAACCCATGCTTATCTCCCCGTAAAGATCCGGGTTAGAACTGATCTTCAGCAACCCATGCTTATCTCCCCGTGAAGATCCGGGTTAGAACTGGTCTTCAGCAACCCATGCTTATCTCCCCGTAAAGATCCGGGTTAGAACTGATCTTCAGCAACCCATGCTTGTCTCCCCGTGAAGATCCGGGTTAGAACTGATCTTCAGCAACCCATGCTTATCTCCCCGTGAAGACCCGGGTTAGAACTGGTCTTCAGCAACCCATGCTTATCTCCCCGTGAAGATCCGGGTTAGAACTGATCTTCAGCAACCCATGCTTATCTCCCCGTGAAGATCCGGGTTAGAATTGGTCTTCAGTAACCCATGCTTATCTCCCCGTGAAGATCCGGGTTAGAATTGGTCTTCAGTAACCCATGCTTATCTCCCCGTGAAGATCCGGGTTAGAACTGATCTTCAGCAACCCATGCTTATCTCCCCGTGAAGATCCGGGTTAGAATTGGTCTTCAGTAACCCATGCTTATCTCCCCGTGAAGATCCGGGTTAGAACTGATCTTCAGCAACCCATGCTTATCTCCCCGTGAAGATCCGGGTTAGAACTGATCTTCAGTAACCCATGCTTGTCTCCCCGTGAAGATCCGGGTTAGAGCTGGTCTTCAGCAACCCATGCTTATCTCCCCGTGAAGATCCGGGTTAGAATTGGTCTTCAGCAACCCATGCTTATCTCCCCGTGAAGACCCGGGTTAGAACTGATCTTCAGCAACCCATGCTTGTCTCCCCGTGAAGATCCGGGTTAGAACTGATCTTCAGCAACCCATGCTTATCTCCCCGTGAAGATCCGGGTTAGAACTGATCTTCAGCAACCCATGCTTATCTCCCCGTGAAGATCCGGGTTAGAGCTGGTCTTCAGTAACCCATGCTTGTCTCCCCGTGAAGACCCGGGTTAGAACTGATCTTCAGCAACCCATGCTTGTCTCCCCGTGAAGATCCGGGTTAGAACTGATCTTCAGCAACCCATGCTTATCTCCCCGTGAAGATCCGGGTTAGAACTGATCTTCAGCAACCCATGCTTATCTCCCCGTGAAGATCCGGGTTAGAACTGGTCTTCAGCAACCCATGCTTATCTCCCCGTGAAGATCCGGGTTAGAACTGATCTTCAGCAACCCATGCTTATCTCCCCGTGAAGATCCGGGTTAGAATTGGTCTTCAGTAACCCATGCTTATCTCCCCCGTGAACATCCTGGTTAGAACTGATCTTCAGAAACCCATGCTTATCTCCCCGTGAAGACCCGGGTTAGAATTGGTCTTCAGCAACCCATGCTTATCTCCCCGTGAAGACCCGGGTTAGAACTGATCTTCAGCAACCCATGCTTATCTCCCCGTGAAGACCCGGGTTAGAATTGGTCTTCAGCAACCCATGCTTATCTCCCCGTGAAGACCCGGGTTAGAACTGATCTTCAGCAACCCATGCTTATCTCCCCGTAAAGATCCGGGTTAGAATTGGTCTTCAGTAACCCATGCTTATCTCCCCGTGAAGATCCGGGTTAGAACTGGTCTTCAGCAACCCATGCTTATCTCCCCGTGAACATCCGGGTTAGAATTGGTCTTCAGCAACCCATGCTTGTCTCCCCGTGAAGACCCGGGTTAGAATTGGTCTTCAGCAACCCATGCTTATCTCCCCGTGAAGATCCGGGTTAGAACTGATCTTCAGCAACCCATGCTTATCTCTCCGTGAAGACCCGGGTTAGAATTGGTCTTCAGCAACCCATGCTTATCTCCCCGTGAAGACCCGGGTTAGAACTGATCTTCAGCAACCCATGCTTATCTCCCCGTAAAGATCCGGGTTAGAATTGGTCTTCAGTAACCCATGCTTATCTCCCCGTGAAGATCCGGGTTAGAATTGGTCTTCAGCAACCCATGCTTATCTCCCCGTAAAGATCCGGGTTAGAATTGGTCTTCAGCAACCTATGCTTATCTCCCCGTGAAGATCCGGGTTAGAACCGGTCTTCAGCAACCCATGCTTGTCTCCCCGTGAAGATCCGGGTTAGAACTGATCTTCAGCAACCCATGCTTATCTCCCCGTGAAGATCCGGGTTAGAACTGATCTTCAGCAACCCATGCTTATCTCCCCGTGAAGATCCGGGTTAGAACTGATCTTCAGCAACCCATGCTTATCTCCCCGTGAAGATCCGGGTTAGAGCTGGTCTTCAGTAACCCATGCTTGTCTCCCCGTGAAGACCCGGGTTAGAATTGGTCTTCAGCAACCCATGCTTATCTCCCCGTGAAGACCCGGGTTAGAACTGATCTTCAGCAACCCATGCTTGTCTCCCCGTGAAGATCCGGGTTAGAACTGATCTTCAGCAACCCATGCTTATCTCCCCGTGAAGATCCGGGTTAGAACTGGTCTTCAGCAACCCATGCTTATCTCCCCGTGAAGATCCGGGTTAGAACTGATCTTCAGCAACCCATGCTTATCTCCCCGTGAAGATCCGGGTTAGAATTGGTCTTCAGTAACCCATGCTTATCTCCCCCGTGAACATCCTGGTTAGAACTGATCTTCAGAAACCCATGCTTATCTCCCCGTGAAGACCCGGGTTAGAATTGGTCTTCAGCAACCCATGCTTATCTCCCCGTGAAGATCCGGGTTAGAACTGATCTTCAGCAACCCATGCTTATCTCCCCGTGAAGACCCGGGTTAGAATTGGTCTTCAGCAACCCATGCTTATCTCCCCGTGAAGACCCGGGTTAGAACTGATCTTCAGCAACCCATGCTTATCTCCCCGTGAAGACCCGGGTTAGAATTGGTCTTCAGCAACCCATGCTTATCTCCCCGTGAAGACCCGGGTTAGAACTGATCTTCAGCAACCCATGCTTATCTCCCCGTAAAGATCCGGGTTAGAATTGGTCTTCAGTAACCCATGCTTATCTCCCCGTGAAGATCCGGGTTAGAACTGGTCTTCAGCAACCCATGCTTATCTCCCCGTGAACATCCGGGTTAGAATTGGTCTTCAGCAACCCATGCTTGTCTCCCCGTGAAGACCCGGGTTAGAATTGGTCTTCAGCAACCCATGCTTATCTCCCCGTGAAGATCCGGGTTAGAACTGATCTTCAGCAACCCATGCTTATCTCTCCGTGAAGACCCGGGTTAGAATTGGTCTTCAGCAACCCATGCTTATCTCCCCGTGAAGACCCGGGTTAGAACTGATCTTCAGCAACCCATGCTTATCTCCCCGTAAAGATCCGGGTTAGAATTGGTCTTCAGTAACCCATGCTTATCTCCCCGTGAAGATCCGGGTTAGAATTGGTCTTCAGCAACCCATGCTTATCTCCCCGTAAAGATCCGGGTTAGAATTGGTCTTCAGCAACCTATGCTTATCTCCCCGTGAAGATCCGGGTTAGAACCGGTCTTCAGCAACCCATGCTTGTCTCCCCGTGAAGACCCGGGTTAGAACTGATCTTCAGCAACCCATGCTTATCTCCCCGTGAAGATCCGGGTTAGAGCTGGTCTTCAGCAACCCATGCTTATCTCCCCGTGAACATCCGGGTTAGAACTGGTCTTCAGCAACCCATGCTTGTCTCCCCGTAAAGATCCGGGTTAGAATTGGTCTTCAGCAACTCATGCTTATCTCCCCGTGAAGATCCGGGTTAGAATTGGTCTTCAGCAACCCATGCTTGTCTCCCCATGAAGACCCGGGTTAGAACCGGTCTTCAGCAACCCATGCTTGTCTCCCCGTGAACATCCGGGTTAGAATTGGTCTTCAGCAACTCACGTAAGAGGCGGTTAACGGGATCAAAGAGTTTGTTAAGTATCCCTGTTGACCAGACAGAGCACGGTGCAGGGATCAACATTCTCCTGTTAAGGGATATGCTGCTGTTTCAAGTCGGAAGTGCATCTTGTGTATATATTATTACAGGGTCATGTGGATCCTGTATACACACTCTAGTTACCAAACTGTTTGTGACTCGGCGCGAACGTGTTACGTAATAGACGTGCATCTTTTCTTGATCAGCCATCTTCATTCCTTCAACATGTTCATGTCGATATGACTAGCGTCTGTATTTAGTGATCCATGCATATAGTTTTCAACATTATTTTGCTTTGTGCTGTCATAGCATTCCATAGCGTCTACAGCAGAAAGAGAGTGCTACCAAAAGACCGACATCCTTTTGAATTTACAAATGCGTTTTTAGATTTGCTGGTGTTAGTGAGTATTCAGGGAAAGATTATCATTTTATCGAAAAGGTTGACATTTGATAAATGCGGCTAAAACGGGCACCGAAATATGCAATGACACCAGCAAACACATAGCGTTTATCTCTTAATCTAATATTCCTTCTGACTGGCAACCAATCTTTATATATAAATCATCAACGCCAGATAATAATATCTGCTGAAACAGATTCCATTGGGCGTGACAGGGCAACAAGTGGTGAAACGTATATGAAAGAATCACCGAGTTGAAATAAATCGCGTAGATCGACCTATTTCTTCATGAGAATATGCTATGGAAGTGATACATCATGTCACGTGAAGCTCTGATGTTACACCAGTAGTCGACTCGAGAGTATCGCCAATTAAGTATTTGCAGAAAACAAAGAACTCATCACACATGTTCCAAAACAATGGATGTGTTTTGTAAGCCCCAGATCTTAGGAGACGACTTCAGAAACTGCAGGGTGGTTTTATTCCCAACGTTGTCTTCCCTGGACCACCTGAGACTGAGAGCTTGTCTGCACTAGATGGGGCCACGACAGGAACTGCTATCCCTGGACCACCTGAGACTGAGAGCTTGTCTGCACTAGATGCAATCACGGCAGGAACTGCTATCCCTGGACCACCTGAGACTGAGAGCTTGTCTGCACTAGATGGGGCCACGACAGGAACTGCTATCCCTGGACCACCTGAGACTGAGAGCTTGTCTGCACTAGATGCAATCACGGCAGGAACTGCTATCCCTTGACCACCTGAGACTGAGAGCTTGTCTGCACTAGATGGGGCCACGACAGGAACTGCTATCCCTGGACCACCTGAGACTGAGAGCTTGTCTGCACTAGATGGGGCCACGACAGGAACTGCTATCCCTGGACCACCTGAGACTGAGAGCTTGTCTGCACTAGATGCAATCACGGCAGGAACTGCTATGCCTGGACCACCTGAGACTGAGAGCTTGTCTGCACTAGATGGGGCCACGACAGGAACTGCTATCCCTGGACCACCTGAGACTGAGAGCTTGTCTGCACTAGATGCAATCACGACAGGAACTGCTATCCCTGGACCACCTGAGACTGAGAGCTTGTCTGCACTAGATGCAATCACGGCAGGAACTGCTATCCCTGGACCACCTGAGACTGAGAGCTTGTCTGCACTAGATGGGGCCACGACAGGAACTGCTATCCCTGGACCACCTGAGACTGAGAGCTTGTCTGCACTAGATGGGGCCACGACAGGAACTGCTATCCCTGGACCACCTGAGACTGAGAGCTTGTCTGCACTAGATGCAATCACGACAGGAACTGCTATCCCTGGACCACCTGAGACTGAGAACTTGTCTGCACTAGATGCAGCCACGACAGGAACTGTTATCCCTGGACCACCTGAGACTAAGAGCTTGTCTGCACTAGATGGGGCCACGACAGGAACTGCTATCCCTGGACCACCTGAGACTGAGAGCCTGTCTGCACTGGATGGGACCACGGCGGGAACTGCTATGCCTGGACCACCTGAGACTGAGAGCTTGTCTGCACTAGATGGGACCACGACAGGAACTACCATGCCTGGACCACCTGAGACTGAGAGCTTGTCTGCACTAGATGGGGCCACGACAGGAACTGCTATCCCTGGACCACCTGAGACTGAGAGCTTGTCTGCACTAGATGCAATCACGACAGGAACTGCTATGCCTTGTACTGACACATCCTTATAAAGCCCTATGCTATCTATCTAATTTATCTGCTGCTACATCCGCATTTGACAAATTAATAACTTTTAGGGCATACATCGTCCGATATAATCTTTAGTAATCTCCACTACCCACATGTGCAGTAACGCTATCTCTATTTTATAATATATGTACAATTATTAGTTGATCTCATCATGTAAATCCTTGGTGCACTTTGTTACACTATACATGTCATAAGAGACGACTTAGTTGATCGGAAGGCCGGACTCGCTAATGTGTTGATTGTGTGTCGACGTACCCAAACGGCTTTGGGCATTGCTCATCACTGGTCTGTCTGGTCCAGACTCGATTATTTCCAGGCCGCCGTGATGCAGCTGGAGTATTGCTGACTGCCACTTTAAACAAACAAGGGTGAATATTGCCGTACCTGAGCTCCGCAGTGAACACAACTGGCTGGGTCGGCCATGTCAGAAACAGCAGGAAGCACACAACCACACAGAGTAGGAGGGCAAAGAGCATGAGTTTCAGCGGTTTCCTGAAATAGTTCAACACAAACAGTAACTTGTAACTTGATACGCAGGAAGTCCGGACATTTAACGATCTTGACTAATTGGATGTTGACACATAGATGTTTCTGTTATAAAACTGTTAACATGTGCTAGATTTGTTCTATTGTAGTCGAGTTTATGTTCTGGATGTACCATTATAAGATGAAAAAAATCAATGAGATCCTTTCCACACATGCAAATGCATGTAAAGTCAAGTAAGGTCCAATCTTGCTGATACAGTGTTGTGACCTTGAAGAGTATGATGCATCATGGCGTGTCAGCTTAATGTGAGAGAAAAGCCCAGAGGAATGTAGAACGTAGAAGTTAACTAAGTGAACCTAACTAATTGAGACAATTCTTCAGAGAGAACTACTGTAGCTGAGTCAAACGTGACCCATGAGGTCATAGGAATATAAGTAATTACTGTAATATATACATATAAACGTTAAGGGGAGCAGCTACTTTGAATTGATTCAGCCGTTGCAGGAATAAAAACCCGTCTAAATCCTGAGCTGTGCAAACAAAGTGAATGAGTGAGTATTGTTTTAAGCCGCTTTTAGCAATATTCCTCCAATATCACGGTTGGGACACCGGAAAATGGGCTTCACGAATTGTACCCATGTGGGGAATCGAACCCGGGTCTTCGGCGTGACGTGTTAGATTCAGTAATTGAAGTGTTTCAAACTTAATTACTATTATGGTCAGAGTATGGTTGATTCATGGGAAGTGTACCTGTCACATATATAGATATGTAAGCCAGCGATTGAGACCATAGCATACGGCACGAAACACACAGTCAGTCAGGCCACAATCGGTCAGTTGTAACCTCCCGATCGATAGCTTAGTCGATATAGATACGTCATGTGGGTTTTTTTTATTATCCCGGGAGTAGAATCAACGAGCCTCGAACATATTCGAGTCATGTCTTCTACTTAAATCGTGTTATGGATGATCCTTAATTTCTCCATACTTTTGCATAATTGTCTAGATCTATAGGTTTAACTTGTTTAAAAAGCACGTTCAGAATGGCCTAGCGGCGGTCGTGTGGCCTAGTGGTTAAAGCGTTAGCTCGTCACGCCGAAGACCCGGGTTCGATTTTCGACATGGGTACAATGTGTGAAACCCATTTCTGGTGTCCCCTCCGCCGTGATACTGCTGGAATTTTGCTAATTGCGGCGTAAAACCATACTCACTCACTTTGGCCTATGGATTCCTGGCTCATAATCAAGTACAACAATAATAGTGTGACGTCATTATAATTGTTTGATCGTGTTCTCTAATCTTCCCGGAATCACCTGCAGATAGTGAGAATGTCAAGGTCACAGAGAAATGTCCCTAGTCGCTCTCTGAATACTACAGCACTGTAATGGGGCATCAGTTCGTTCCCAAGAATACCTGTCATCCATTGGGGGATATTTATTCGCTAAATTTCATCCATTAGATACATTACCGATTCATTGTCTGGAAACAGACAGTGTCTGGTCACTCACATAACAATGAACAATGAAGAGATCAATGCAAACGTAACTAAATCACCTGAAAAGACATCTGGCACTGAAGCTCAAGTGAAATGGGAACACAAAATGGTACTTACATCTTCCCCACAGAACGACAGGAGTTTGTATACTATCCCACGAACAGCCCTAACACAACAGGAGAGCGAGGACGTATTTTGTTTGACTGCAATTACTTCCCGGTCCACTAAACACTCACAACCTCATTAAAATACACTCTTCAACAAAAGAAACGCACGGACAGAGTTTAAGTAAATTTATACATGTAGTACCAAATAAAGTCGATATATTAATATAATAGATACAAATATGAAATTTTAGAGCTCGATAGTCACATGTTGTCGTTGTACAAGGGCATTGAAATCTTTTCATTGTCATATCACATACGGCCACAAGTTTGCCCTGAACTTAGTATCTCGTGTGACCGCCCCGGGCAGCAATCACGGCTCTGCATCTCCTCGGCACTGACTGGATAAGTGTACGAATTCTGAACTGCGGAATTCTGCTAGTAACGCGTTGGCCAGTTGTGGGAATGTCTGCGGCGTGTTCTGACGCTGACGTACATGTCGCTCGTGTCCATCCCATAGGTGTTCGATTGGGTTGAGATCTGGTGATCTCGACGGCCAGCGCAAGCCGTTGACGTTGGCATTATGGAGGTAGCATACCGTGACACGAACTGTGTGTGGTGGGGCGTTGTCCTGTTGAAACAGTTCCCTCTGGCGGTCAATGATTGGAAGAATATGAGGTTGAAGAATTTGATTTATGTAGCGATTTGCTGTCAAATTTCCCTTAACCCAAACCAAGTCAGAACTTGTGGTGTAGGATATGGCCCCCACACCATGACACTACCGCCACCGAATTCGTCGAATTCACGTACACAATGTGGGGCAAAACGCTCATTTCGACGACGATAAACAAGTTGTCTTCCATCTCGCCTGTGAAGAAGAAATCGTAATTCATCGCTGAACCACACTCGTCTCCAGTTTCTCAAATTCCAAGGCTGTAAGGTATGGCACCAATGCAAGCGTTGCTGTCGATGGATCTGTTGCAAAACAGGGACGATAACTGCCCTTGTGGGTCGGATTCCAGCCTCGCAAAGATGGTTCCTGACAGTCTGGTCCGATATCCTCCTTAAACCAGGGATGCGTCCTGCAGTCTCCGTAGCTGAGGCTTTGCGATGACGTAGGTGGAACAGTCGAATGTAGCGATCCTGTGCAGGGGTGGTAACTCTTGGTCGTCCAGTTCTCCTGCAGTGGAATAGAACTGTGTGTATCGGTCCCAAAGGCGACAAATGGTGCTGAGGTGGGCGTTGAAGTGGCGTGCAACAGAAGACTGCCATTCCCCTCATTAAATGTTTCCTCCATGACATTTTTGAACAAGTGTGAAAACTATGCCGTTTAAGACATTGCAAATCGACAATGGCTGCGTTTTGACGCACGGTTTGTCGAATATCAGGCCACCAACATTTTCCAATAACATATATCCAATTTATATACCGGATATTTTGTGTAGTCAGGTAGGGTGAACTACATACTACCTGTGCGATTTTTGAAAAAAATATTTGGAAGAGTGTATGTACATTAGATAGCTACGTGATAAATCGCAAAGAACCATGAGGAACGAAGCGTGGTTTATTTCACCATAAAACATTGTTCTAACATGACGTCATTTCTGGAGAATCGATGACTTAATGACCCTCTGTTGTGCCCTTAAACCTATAATGGTCTTAAGTCTACACTGTTCATGAGTGGGCGGAGCTTATGCGACCACGTCACACTTCACACTGCGGACTGCATCTCACTTGAACACGGAACTGCATCGGATTTCTGCCGACGTTTTGAGTGTGTTACTTTCACAAACAAGCATCAGGCCTCAACAGCAGTTTGGTTCCATAGACATACGGCCTCAACAGCAGTTTGGTTCCATAGACATACGGCCTCAACAGCAGTTTGGTTCCATAGACATACGGCCTCAACAGCAGTTTGGTTCCATAGACATACGGCCTCAACAGCAGTTTGGTTCCATAGACATACGGCCTCAACAGCAGTTTGGTTCCATAGACATACGGCCTCAACAGCAGTTTGGTTCCATAGACATACGGCCTCAACAGCAGTTTGGTTCCATAGACATACGGCCTTAACAGCAGTTTGGTTCCATAGACATACGGCCTTAACAGCAGTTTGGTTCCATAGACATACGGCCTTAACAGCAGTTTGGTTCCATAGACATACGGCCTCAACAGCAGTTTGGTTCCATAGACATACGGCCTCAACAGCATTTTGGTTCCATAGACATACGGCCTTAACAGCAGTTTGGTTCCATAGACATACGGCCTTAACAGCAGTTTGGTTCCAAAGACATACGGCCTTAACAGCAGTTTGGTTCCATAGACATACGGCCTTAACAGCAGTTTGGTTCCATAGACATACGGCCTCAACAGCAGTTTGGTTCCATAGACATACGGCCTTAACAGCAGTTTGGTTCCATAGACATACGGCCTTAACAGCAGTTTGGTTCCATAGACATACGGCCTTAACAGCAGTTTGGTTCCATAGACATACGGCCTCAACAGCAGTTTGGTTCCATAGACATACGGCCTCAACAGCATTTTGGTTCCATAGACATACGGCCTTAACAGCAGTTTGGTTCCATAGACATACGGCCTCAACAGCAGTTTGGTTCCATAGACATACGGCCTCAACAGCAGTTTGGTTCCATAGACATACGGCCTCAACAGCAGTTTGGTTCCATAGACATACGGCCTCAACAGCAGTTTGGTTCCATAGACATACGGCCTTAACAGCAGTTTGGTTCCAAAGACATACGGCCTCAACAGCAGTTTGGTTCCATAGACATACGGCCTCAACAGCAGTTTGGTTCCATAGACATACGGCCTTAACAGCAGTTTGGTTCCATAGACATACGGCCTTAACAGCAGTTTGGTTCCATAGACATACGGCCTCAACAGCAGTTTGGTTCCATAGACATACGGCCTCAACAGCATTTTGGTTCCATAGACATACGGCCTTAACAGCAGTTTGGTTCCATAGACATACGGCCTCAACAGCAGTTTGGTTCCATAGACATACGGCCTCAACAGCAGTTTGGTTCCATAGACATACGGCCTCAACAGCAGTTTGGTTCCATAGACATACGGCCTCAACAGCAGTTTGGTTCCATAGACATACGGCCTTAACAGCAGTTTGGTTCCAAAGACATACGGCCTCAACAGCAGTTTGGTTCCATAGACATACGGCCTCAACAGCAGTTTGGTTCCATAGACATACGGCCTTAACAGCAGTTTGGTTCCATAGACATACGGCCTTAACAGCAGTTTGGTTCCATAGACATACGGCCTCAACAGCAGTTTGGTTCCATAGACATACGGCCTTAACAGCAGTTTGGTTCCATAGACATACGGCCTTAACAGCAGTTTGGTTCCATAGACATACGGCCTCAACAGCAGTTTGGTTCCATAGACATACGGCCTCAACAGCAGTTTGGTTCCATAGACATACGGCCTCAACAGCATTTTGGTTCCATAGACATACGGCCTTAACAGCAGTTTGGTTCCATAGACATACGGCCTTAACAGCAGTTTGGTTCCATAGACATACGGCCTTAACAGCAGTTTGGTTCCATAGACATACGGCCTTAACAGCAGTTTGGTTCCATAGACATACGGCCTTAACAGCAGTTTGGTTCCATAGACATACGGCCACTTGGTGAGATGTTGGACACAGTTTACTAAACTTATTGCTTTTTGTTGCAGACAAACAATATTGGAAATAAAATTTAACATAATGAAAATCTGACTTCAATATATGTTTATGTTTTCAATTATTCTTCCACATATTATACATACTTCAGAAGGCTGCAGATGCAATGTAAGCTTAGAAACATGCTGAGAAGTAACATATTCAAGGTTGATGTTAAGGATTTTTTATCGAGATCAGATATTTTTTTCCCAGCTACAGCTACAAAACGAGATATTTAAAACAAAATTAAAACTGGCATGCTTGGTGACTCGATTGATTGTGTGGTGTCATGTACCCCAATATAAATACATGTAATCGAGACAGGGTCAGATAACGAGTGGTTTAAGCATAAACAACGCCCCACGTCAACAGGTACTATGACACTCAATCAACCAAATAACAAACCTGACTACCCGAGGCTCTACCCGACACGCGCCATTTACTGGTAACCGATTCTAAGCCGGGGTCGCCATCCGATAAAAGGAATATTCCCTGCATGCTCATCTTTGCTGTTTCTGATACTTGCAGTAAGTGTTGGCCTTCAAGAGCCCTCTAAGTGTTGGCCTAAGAGAACCCGCCTTGTAACACCTATAAATCCATACCGGGCGCTGTTGTGTACCATGTGGGGAATCGAACCCGGGCCTTAGGCGCGACAAGCGAACCCTTTGACAACTAGGCGAACCCGCCGCCTCTAGAGTGCGAAAGGTCAAAACAACGTTAAAAGATAATGACAATCGCCAGGCAGAGTACTAAGTGGATACAAGGACTGTACATGGTACATATTCTCTTTTACGATTCGTGAAAGACTTCAGGTATTACCTTCACTCTCGCTCGGTAAATATAACAATTCTGACACTCATTTCGAAAAATCAGTATGACACACATGCTCGTATAATAATCGCTATAAAAGTACCAATCATGACCTCTCTAAAATTAGTTATAAATAGTTCACAGTTTATAGGTTTTAAAGGTGTTATGCCACTTCTGCACGGTTTGATTACCGTTATATAATGGTAACCAAATAATCAATAACAATTTTGGACTATGACCCCTCTATATTTGCTTATAAATTTGTATTTTCAACAGCCAAAAGGATTCCATTAATTGTAGATTATAAAGGCGCTATATAATTTCTGGTCAACGTGATATGAGTAATACAGTAAAAATCTCTTAGAATTTGGAATATTCACCCATTGCATTCAGATTCTGTTCACAAGTTTGAAATGGTAGTTATTTTCATCAGCCAAGAAGACATATTAAGATTCCATTAATTGTAGATTTTAAAGGCATTATCCGACTTCTAATCAAGGAGATATGAGTAATAATATAGTAAATGAAAAAAATTAGGAATATTCACCCATTGCATTCATATTCAGCGCACAAGTTCGAAATGTGATTTACAATCATTAGCCAGGAAG